TTTTTAAAGCCACAGAATGAAAAAATATTTTTATAATGCATAAAATTAACAAAGGACTCATGTTGATTTCAAATTTAAAAAATGACAAAGCAATAAGAGAAAGATGAACAAGTCAATAGAAAACTTGAACAGGCACTTAGAAGAAAATTCAGATAGCCAGTAGGTATGAAATGTGCTTCATTTCCTTAATAATCAGAGGAATGCAAATCAATTCCTCATTGCAGGTAGAAATGTACTTCAATGCAATTATAGTTGACCCTTGAACAACTCCATAGTTAGGAAAACAGCACCCTGTGCAGTTGAAAATCCATGTTTGACTTTTGACTCCCTTGAGAGTATTGTGTAATACTCCATTCCCATAATATTTAAAAGTAAACCAAATAATATATTTAGAGATGTATATATGTGTTAAACCTATAAAGAAAATCCAGAAAGTTTTGTCATCACAGAGGTAGGATAGTATTTCCTGGAGAGGGGAGAGGAGAGAGTTGTGTGATTGAGGGAGATCTATAGGTTCTGGTTCTAGTCTGTGTTTGATTTGGTTAGAATTACTAGTATTCATTTCATAATTGTTGAATTTAATAAATTTTGATGCCTTTTTCTCTCAAATTTTCAGTTTAAAAAAATTGTGGTTTTTTTTTTCATTTTCAAAGTGTCTAGGAAGAATACGAAGTATCTTTCAAAATTAGCAATGATTATTAAAAATGAGGAAAAGAAGAACTTTCCTTAGTTAAAAAAATTCTATTTAGTTTAAGTTCCTTGGAACTTAAAACATACTATTCCTTTATTTTACAAGTAGTCCTATCTTGTGCTAGATCTGATTATCCATTCATGCCATATTTATGGAGCATTTACTGCTCAGTGCTTGACAGAAATGAGATTTAAGGTGGGTGATGATATTATAGATTAATTAGCTCCTTGTGCATTTAAAAAAACATGCATATATACCTTTTGAGTACTTTTAATTCCATAGTTTTGCTTCTAAGTATTGTGATTCTATTTGTTTGGAATGGAATTTGACAGTTATAAAATTGAGCATACATTAAAGAGCATTTCAGTTCTTTGTAGGCAGTAAAGCCACAGTCTTGTCAGGTGTGGGCAGTATAGACTTCTGAGTCTAAAACTTTGTAGCATATCTCAAAATTCCAGAAAATGCCAGCCCCCTGGTATTTTTATCAGTTCTTATTTCAGACTTTGTGTAGTTTAAATATTTAAACTAATTTCAGTGAAAAATACCATGAATACTAGATTTCTTTATTAAGAAACGGAAGGTTATGGTAACGTATGTATGATTGTATATATATATGTATTTGTTTATATATTTTTGTATATGTGTGTATATATAATTTCCATGGAGAATAAGCATATCTAAAAATTTAAATACATTATTTTTTGCTAATAAGAGCACGTAAGCTAAAAAAACTATTTAAAATTGGCCACCTTTAGGCTGGATAATGGACATTGGGGAGGGTATGTGCTATGATGAGTGCTATGAATTGTGTAAGACTGATGAATCACAGACCTGTACCCCTGAAACAAATAATACGTTATATGGTAATTAAAATAAATAAATATTAAAAAAATAAAATTGGCCACCTTTAATTCACAATCCATTTTGAAATATGTTTGCTTTTTAAGTTTATTGTGTAAAAGACTTGAATACTCTTAGGGAAAAAAGTCTAAAACCTATATTTTATACCGTAGATTAAAGTACGCAGAAAATACCTGACCGAATTGGCCCAAAATATAAAAAGAAGAGCCATTAAAATCGTAATACAGTTTAACTTTATTGTGAGGAGTAGAAATGTTTGTTAAAGGTGCTTAGCTGACCCTCCAAAAATAAAATTTCTGTCTTTTATAGAAATGCACTGATGAAAATTGTGGCTGCATTCATTTTAGGATTTCATTTAACTAATCTTTGCAGTTGGAATCATTAAACGTGTTTGGAACACTGGTACAAAAGAACATAGAACAGGTTGTATCAAGTTAGCTTAAATTAATAACTTAATTATTTAAGAAAAGCAACTTCAATCAACTTGCATGATACACACCCCTGAAATTGAAAGTATTTTGGCATAATTGAATTTTCCCCTTAAGTATGCCATAACGTCACTGAAAGCTGTCAATTTCATGTACAAGAGTAAAGTACTTTTGAAGTACCGTTTACTTCAGAATGGAACATTATAATCATCAGTAATAGCCACAGACTGTGCACCGTGCTAGTACCCTTAATGAATGCGCTTAAAAGCAGATTCCTCAAAATGGTAGCCTTTCAGACTGTGTTTTCTTCATTGAGCAAGTGTGTTTGTTGTGGGTAACTTGAAGCATGTGAAAAAACTGAAGCTAGCCTGTTTCTTATATGCCTCACCTAGCCTTGTTAATAGATTACAGCATTCCATTTGTTAGTACCTGTGACACCGGAGAAACTTTTACTATTAAGCTATGTGGTAACGATAAAGATGACAGAAAAAGTCTTTTTATGGTAGTTGGTCCTCACAACAACTCTTCGTGTTCTGGTGATAAGACACAAGTTGGATATGCAGTAGAGGTACATGAGCCTTTTATCTCCAGAGCTGATAGAGCCTCTTAAATTCCCTCACAATGACAGGAACCCCATCTGAAGTGAAGGCTTGCAGAGCTGGAGATACCAGAGCACTATTCTTCCTCATGAGTACAAGTAGGGTTAACCCTGTTGTTGTGAATAAAAATTTTGTGTAATTACTTAAAAAGGCCATATTCTTTTTCTTCAGTAATTTAAAAGGACTTCAAAGAGGCACATACTTGGTGGTTGCTGTTAGAGAAGAGCACGACTGTGAATTTCCTAGTCTTAAGATACATGAATATGATGGGAAAATATCTAGAGATTTCAGGCTAGAATAAGTCAAGTTCATGATGAAATCTTTGTGTAGGCACTTAACTATATTTGTTTTGTTTCTAGGGCTGTGTAGGTTATAAGAGTTCATTGTGTTCCAATATTCTGAGTGTTAACATCTTCATCGCTGATAGCAACTTGCAGAGCTTTGGCAAGCAGAACTTGCTACTGGGAACGGGGGAGAATACATGTCTCCATCCCTTAGTTCTAAATAACAGGACCTTTTATGGCTAAGTACACATAAAAGTTCATGTGATTAGTTAGATCCATAGAACGTAGGGCCATGGGGCCAATGTTGGGGAAGTACATGTAGTGTTTGCTCTATGCTTATGTTTAGTGATTGTGCTGTGGTGGAGGTTTCAGGTATTGTATGTGGAATCCTAGTGTATGCTAAGTAATTTGAGAAGTTAACATATCAGCACTTAGGATTTCTTATGATTCTGTAAGCATGAAAAAATCAAATTGACTAAAGTGATTTTAAAATAATTTGACTTCAGAGAAACTAAAATAATTCTCAAATCTTAACCTATTGTGTGTTTATATTCTTTCAAGGAATAAAAGGTATAAAATAAGCATTCATAATTATTGTAAATCATATTTTAAAGGATACCAAGATTATTACCAATTACTTAAAAGTATATCTTAAATCTAATTTAAATAACCATTTACTAACAAACTTACATAATACTAATCTATTGATCAAACTTTGTTTCCCAATTAAACTTTGTCAGTTTACTTGGAAGATTTTAACTTCCTAGAACTTCTCAGTGGTTGGCTGGAAAATCAAGTCTCAAAGCTATTTAAACTGTTGAACTCTGTAATTCTACTTTAAAAAAAGACTCATCAGGGTTTTTAAAAATTTAGACATTCTGGAAATAATATTCCACAGAATTGTCAGGCCCCTGGTTTTAAAGTTACTCTTTTAAATATTGGATAAGTCATTTCATGGTGATTTTAATGAAAAAAATTAAAAATCAGAAAGCCAACTGTTCATTATATTTTTACCTCAAAGTAAGAAGAAGAAAAGGTGAACATACGGTCTAGGAGATACTTTTATGACACTCAAGAAAGTTTTCCAGAAAGTCAGTTCAGTGGATTAGATCAACCCATTAAGGAGCTCTATAGAAAGAGCTAGCAAAGGGCGGGGGGGGGGGGGGGGGGGGAGATACATGCTGAGTAAAGTTTTATTACAAATTTTAAAAATAAGTAGAAGGAAAAATTTCATTAGTTTTTTTTTTTGCTTTTATAGAACTTCAGAATAATTTGTTGCAATCTTATAATACATGTTCAGTGTCACTAATAAAGTCACTAATAATATGTATATTCTACATAGGAAAGAGTCATTACTGCCATATGTAAATAAGTATTTGAGTTTTTATGCTTCAAAGTTATGTAGGAAAATGATAGTATTTAAGAACAAATTAGGAATGCAGTTATTGAGATACAATGCTGATTCTTTCTGGTGGCTAGGATTAACTCAGGCAGAAAGCAGTTTCAGTAGATGAAGTTGCTGAAATGTTCATTTTGTAAACGTACTATGATAGCTTCTCAAAGCATCATTTTGATACATTTCTATGTCAGTTCGCACACTCATTGGCCCTATCAGATATGTTGATCAGGATGTTACCAGATTCAGGTTGTAACTCTCAGAGCCGTGAGTAATTTAATATTCTCTAGGAAGTTTGGGAAGAAAGAATCCAAACAAGTAAACATTCCTTTTTTTCTTAATGTATGATGGGAGCATTAATTTTGCTTATATCTAAGGTTTACCTTATTTGGAGGATTAGAGTACATTTGTGATCATTTAAAACCATTTCAGTGGCTCTTGTAATAACTCAATTCATTCAGTCTGTGCTCTCTTAATAAATTTTACAAAAAAACTCATGGCAAGTTAGTATCATTTGTGTGTGAATTTTCCAATTGTATTTCAGACTTTAAGAAAGAAAGGCCTTAATGGTTGTGAGAGCCCTGATGCTGACGATTACTTTGAGCACAGTCCACTCTCGGAGGACAGATTCAGCAAACTAAATGAAGATAGTGATTTTATTTTCAAACGAGGCCCTGTAAGTACTTTTACTTTACCTCTACTTTTTATTTGTTGATCCTTTTTGTTAACTTCATTATATAGGCTCTGAACAAGAAGGAACACAGAGGGTGCGACAGCCCAGACCCTGATACTTCCTATGTGCTAACTCCACATACAGAAGAAAAATATAAAAAAATTAATGAGGAATTTGATAATATGATGCGGAATCATAAAATCGCAGTGAGTACTAAAGTATGGTTTGTGCTTTTATCTTGTGCATGAAGAGATTGGCTACACTTCTTGTTTATTTTCACAGTGGGTGATGATAACCAATAAGTAGAAGGGGAAAAAATTTCATTAGTTTTTTTTTGTTTTATAGAACTTCAAAATAAATTTGTTGCAGTCTTATAATACATGTTCAATGTCTTAAACATGGAAGTGAAGAGAAAACATCCTAATCTAAGTTCTACTTACTATCTCCTGTACCTTTGGATAGGGCGCATAAACCCCTCCTGGATTCCAGTTTTTTCATCTGTAAAGTGAATGAGTTGGCTTATGTAATTTTTAAGGTCCCTTCTAGCTCTAAATTTCCATGATTGTAAATATATAGGGTGTGTATAAGATTTCCCTTTCTCTCTCATGACTTTTAAAAAGTTTACCTGTACGTAAATAGATCTTGAGACTATAAAATATAAAATGGTTAGATTTATTAGGAAATTTGGTGTTTTAGAATTATTTTTAATTATTTTGTATAGTTGCTGTAATAGTAGTAGCTTACTCTTTGGTTCTTTGTAAATGTCCCAAAACTATTTGGCAAAATACCTCCAAACTCCTTTTCTTTTCTTTTACTATAGGTATTGAGGAAGAGAGCCTTGGCTTGATACTAATTTAAGGACGCAGTGTTCTTAAACTGGTTGTAAAACAAATAGTTGGTTTAAAATTTTCTTATGCTCATACATCTAACCATCATGGAAACCAGTACTTTTTTGAGTTCATGCTTCTTTGATAGTTCTTCAAAGAGTTCTCACGGGAAGCTCGTTGGCAAGAGCTGCTTAAAACAGCTATTCTAGATCTGATTTTCTAATGCTATATCTGTATTGTAGGCTTCATGGAACAGATTGGTTCCACTGCTGGTATTTATCTCATTGTCGGAGATAATTCTCTTAAAAACTATGCGTTGAATTATACTTCATGGATTATCTCTCCAAAGGAGTCCTTTACTATAAAAAGCTCATGAAAAATAGACTTAAGGAAGTATTTCTGTGCTAATACCTTTATAATTCTTAAAAAAACACAATAGCAAACAAAATAAAATCCCTTCTGACCTCACATAGATGTTGGTGACTTTGTAGTAAATGTTAAGCTGCAAAATATTGTGTAAATAAAATTGCTTTTCCTTTGAAAAAATTTTTATCATATATCCATTGTTTTATATCAGCTAATGAATGATAATTTTCTTTCTGAAATAAACTACTATTGAATAGAGTACATAAACTATATTCTTCCAACTTTGAATTCACAGTGTTACTGCTCTTTGCAATCGCTGTTTTAAAATATGGGGAGAGGAAAGCTTTTTTCTTTCTCTATAATGAAGCTGTTATAAAGAGAACTGTTATTTTCATGGTTAATTAAGTATATTATGTGTGGTCAATGGAGGAAATACAAGAAGAAATAGCAAATATTACTTTAAGGGGGTGTAGAATGTTTAGGAGGGAAGTAAGATAGCATTTATAATTGTAATTTAATCTTCATACAATTTAAAAATAGGTTGTCAGTGGTTAAATTGTTTAGATGGTTTCTTTGCAGTGTGTTGTGTATATATGACTTGATTTTTTTTTTTAAGTTTTGTCCGTTAATAATGTCAGTCAATTAAATCAAACTAGGGCTTACTTATATTGTCCCACATTTGGTGTATTATATTTATAATATGTGTACGTATTTTTCCCCTTTTGTTATTTGTAATCTCTCAATAGAAATGTAATGTTACTAAACTGGTTTGGATATTTAAGAGTGCTAATTTTATGCTTACTTGGTAACAACGATATATTTTGTAATGTCTAAATCTGACAACACTAATATCAGGTTCTGACATCTAATTTTCATCTCCAAGAATATTTGAAATATATATATATACACGTTATAGTAGTATATATGTATTTATATATAAAAATGGAAATTGAAAAGGTTATGTCAAACATACTCATGTTCAAATATAATTCTAAAGAAAGCAACTTAAATCTGCCAATTGATTTAGTAAGAAACTATCCCCATCCTCTACTTTTAATAACTGGACTTACCTTATCAAATTAAAGTTCATAAGTTATTACATTTAATATAGATGAAAATGAAACTAACAGTTTTCTCTTGTTCTTTATTTACAGCCTGGTTTGCCACCTCAGAACTTCTCAATGTCTGTCACAGTCCCTGTGACCAGCCCTAATGCTTTGTCCTACACTAACCCAGGGAGTTCACTTGTGTCCCCATCTTTGGCCGCCAGCTCGACATTAGCAGATTCAAGCATGCTGTCTCCGCCTCAAGCCACATTACACAGAAATGTATCCCCTGGAGTCCCTCAGAGACCACCAAGTACTGGCAGTGCAGGTACGTAGTGGTCTCTCTTCTGCTGGTTCTTTAAGGAAAAGAATTGCTAACATAAGCAGTTTCTTATCTTGCTACCCTTTAATGTTCTGTCTTTGATGAGCAAGAGTCACTGCTACATAATTGGCTCCATTTTGAAGAATATTTTTGAGGATTTACTGTGGCATTCTAGCATCCTCTCGGGCACAGTGGAACGATACACAGAATCTGCCATCTATAACTTTCCTTATCATGGGAAAGCCATACTTTGACAGGCAGAAAATTTAATTAGGATATCATGAGCAAAGGGGCGCCTGGGTGGCTCAGTCGTTAAGCGTCTGCCTTCGGCTCAGGTCATGATCCCAGGGTGCTGGGATCGAGCCCCGCATTGGGCTCCCTGCTCTGCAGGAGGCCTGCTTCTCCTTCTCCCACTCCCCCTGCTTGTGTTCCCTCTCTAGCTGTGTCTCTCTGTCAAATAAATAAAATCTTTTAAAAAAAAAAAGAATATCATGAGCAAAGATTTAAAAGTTTGAGTGTGAGTCACTCATGTCAAAAATACAGAGAATAGTTCATGAATTCAGCAGAAATTTGCAGTGCATTTACGGCTTTACTCTTTGTAATGCAGTGTCTCCTCTCCTTTAAGTCCTAGATTTAATAGTACTCCATTAGCACTGCCCCCATTCTTTTTTTCTTTTTTTTTTTTTTTTAAGATTTTTATTTATTTGACAGAGAGAGACACAGAGAGGGAACACAAGCAGGGGGAGTGGAGGAGGGAGAAGCAGGCTCCCCGCTGAGCAGGGAGCCCGATGCGGGGCTCGATCCCAGGACCCTGGGATCATGACCTGAGCCAAAGGCAGACGCTTAACGACTGAGCCACCCAGGCGCCCCAGCACTGCCCCCATTCTTATCAATATGTACTATTTGATATTGATACAGAAAGGCATTTGCATCCAGAGCTTGATAGGTGAGCTTTTATATATACATTCAACTACATCATATTACACAGTAATGCCAAATTCAGTCTAGGCTAGTTTTTATTTTCGTTTTTTAGGAAAGGAGTGCAGGTTACTTCATTCAGATAAGGAGAACCAATTCATGTTCATTTTTTGGCCTCTCTTTTCTCTCTCCAAAATTTTTAGGTGGGATGTTGAGCACTTCAGACCTCACAGTGCCAAATGGAGCCGGGAGCAGCCCAGTGGGTGAGTGAATTACTCCTGTTTTACTTCGTAGGCATCTATCCTGTCTGAGATAAAAGGAATATTGTCCCTCAAATACGGCCTTTTACCAAATGAAGAGGAAAAAATGGATATATGACCAGAGTAGACATGTCCTGTTGTAGACTTAATTTTCTTCTGAGGAGTACTTTTTTTTTTTTTTTTTTAAGATTTTTATTTATTTATTTGAGAGAGAGAGAATGAGAGAGAGCACATGAGAGGGGGGAGGGTCAGAGGGAGAAGCAGACCCCCTGCCGAGCAGGGAGCCCGATGCGGGACTCGATCCAGGGACTCCAGGATCATGACCTGAGCTGAAGGCAGTCGCTTAACCAACTGAGCCACCCAGGCGCCCCTGAGGAGTACTTTTACTAGTACTTAACATTTTTTAATAACAGCCCTGCTCTGTTCTTTATGCCTTGGCCTTGAGTGCCTCCTTTATAGCAGATACTGTGCTTTGCTAAAGATGAAATTGCCTTCATACAGTTTTTACATCAAGCCAGTTTCTTAAGGAGAAGCTTTCTGTATCATCTATTCTCACCAAAGTTAGATTGTTAGCAAACTGATACATCTTATAATAGCATGAAATGTTTTTAGAGAGGTTGCAATACAAAGAAAGGGTGGGCCTACTTCTAGAGCTACAAAGATTTTGCTGACAAGTTTGTCTTCAAAGGATCTATTTTGGTGACCACATGTAAAACATTCACATTTTGTCACAGTTATAGCCAAATTGGTTTTGTTTTTGTTTTGTTTTTTACTTTGCAGTCCTTTCCAAAGGTGACTAGCAAGTTTAAACACATGTTTTAAATATGTCTGCCCAACCTTGAAGTGCTGGCAAAGATACACTGTGAACTGAACATTACAAAAATATGGCATATATGTCAAAGAGTTATAAGAATAACTGTATTCCTTTGGATTATCATCACATTAAGTGGTCTTGGTCTCTTAATCTGTGATAAATACAGTTGTCATCATTGTATCTGAAAACAAGGGCAGGAATTTCCTTCCTGATTTTAGATATTGTGTGCTCCTGGAGACTTTGGAACACAGATCACTTCTAGGAAAAATTCACAATTGCATGTATTCAGCCCATTCATTCTATAAAAATGTAAGGAGCTTCTGCCTCAGGAAAATTGTAGAGATGATTGAATAACTTAATTTAAGATGATGAGAAAGAAACAGATATTGCCGAGACAAGTTATAAAACATAGTGACCTAAAGTAGGATAAATGCCTAAATATGTCTGCCACGTATTAATTGCTCTTTGAATAGAATTAATTATATGAGATCCATTGTAGGATCCTTTTTAACATAATTAATTGTGGAAAATTCATAACTGTCTTAACAGTTATACATTAGGTTGCTATACTTGTATGTATATTTCCAAATATTTATAGTTTATTTCAACTCCATTTTAGTTATTTGCATGCCCATATACATACTCTTTTTGTGTTAAATTTTCCCATATGTTTTTACTCCCCCAGTACTGTCCATCTTACTTTGCCTTCTGCTTCCTAGCCTAGTTAAGACTAGAAGCAAAAATTTCTATTTCATTTAATGTTAATTGTAACTAACTCTTGGTTTATTTCCAAAATTAGTTTTATTTCATGGAGTTAAACTCTTCAGAGATTTCTAATGTGTTTTCCCCTTGCCTTTACTTTTTTTTCCCGCCTTCTGGCATATTGTAAACATGGTTTTTCCTCCTGTCAAACAAGTGTTTCAATTCTCATTTTTTTTCTTGTACTTTCCACACTTCACTGTTTTTTTCTTACCTGCCATGCAACTGTAAATCTAGACTTTGTCTCTGCTGCTTGGTTTTTTTGTGTTCCCTTTGGTAATTTGAAACTCAGACTTTGTCATCATCCTGATTTGACCTTCTGCATATAACCCTTTTCCTTTTGTTTTTTTCATTCATTTTTCTTTTTTTATAAGCCTCCTCTCCCTATCGTGACCCTCATGTTTAGAGGGCTACATAATCACACTCCTCAGATCATGGCACATCATCATCATTGGTTTATATAAAGCATCTTGGTATGCTGTGCATTATCCTTTTTATACCTCTCTGTTCCATTCCCATGCCCTTCCTCCCCCCATCGTAGGCAACTACTTTAATGTGTTTAGTGTTAATAATCATGATTAGTGAACATCAGTTTCTATTAAAACTTAAATTCAAGTAAGTATTAAAATATTTTAAGTGCTTAGTGAATTATTTATTTAAAGATTTTATTTATTGAGAGAGAGAACATGAGTTGGGGGGAGAGGGAGAGAGATAAGGAGCCTCCCCGCTGACCTGCTGAGTGGGGAGCTGGACATGGGGCTCGATCCCAGGACCCTGAGATCACAACCTGACCCAGAGGCAGACGCTTAACCGACTGAGCCACCCAGGCGCCCCTTTAGTGAGTTATTTAAAAGTCTGTTTCCATTATTACGTATACACAGAGATAAACCCTGCTTCTTAGGGTACACCTCAACATCTCATAACACATCAAGATGGGATGTCCTGATTCTTCATTGGTTCATACTCATACATGCCTATTTAACCTATACTACGTGTACTTCTACTTAACTCTACTTGTTTGCATTGTATTCTGAATGGCGTGTGTATTACAGCTGCTTTTTAACAGAATTTAGACTTAACTGAATAGACCTTTTATGTCACTTATTTCAGATACCACCTGGAAGCAGTTATTTCTCTGAACTACTTAGAGCATATGTGGGTTTAACGTGTTTCTTAGTATAAATTTTCCCTAAAATGAATGATCTGTCATGGGTATTTTAGAAATGTTATTTTTGTGAGGAAGAGTCAGATAATATATGTAAGCTCATTTTCAACAATGGTGCCATTTTGGTTTAGTAGTTTGGAAAAAATAGTTTAAACTCATTATTATACCTAGATATACTCTTTATGAATGAAAAGATTAAACAGTTTAAATTCCCAGAGAAATTTAGAGGAAAAAATATTAAAAGGTATGAGAATGATTTCTAATCTATACTTTTCAAGATATGTTTCTTGGAACTGTATGAGAAGAAGGATTTATCTATGTTTGGTAAACCTTGCATTAAATAAAACTAAACAGGTTTCTTCACTGTAGGACTTACCGGAGCCTTTAAAATGCTAATCTATTTTGTGAATCATTAAACTTAGTACATAACATATGGTTACACAAAGTTATTGCATAATAGAACCCTTCATTTTTTTTCCTCATGAAAAGCCATCGTTCATAATTAGTATCATATAAAACATTTTGGGAAATCTTGCTTCTGATCTTAAGATGATACATAGAGTTTTTGAATAATGAAAGCTTCCATAAATGAAATTAAAATTGAGGTTTAAAAAAAGACAAGCAAGACAGTTAGTCTTGTGCTATGATAATAGCAGACCTGGTCATTGGGACCAACCCTTCCGCTGAAGACACCTACAGATGCTAGGCAAAGTATTTGTAAAATCTGCTTGAAATCATTTGAGAACTAACAAGATAATGAAGAATACCTGGCTCAAGATTCAGGGAATGATGGAGACAGAGCCTTGAAGAGGGTGAGCCCAGCATTTGTGACTGCTTTTCCTCAGGTGGTATTTGCCACTTCCACAGTGGAGTAGGACAGCCTCAGAAACCTAAGGGGACAGAGAGATCAAAGTTCAGGGCCCACAAAGAATTGGGAGGGTCCAGTGTGCTCCTGTCACTTTGTGTTGAGCTCCCAAAAGGCAGGACCATAGAAGTAGAGTGAATCAGAGGGTAACAGCCCCTTGCGGTAGCTACATCTAACGTCTGCACCATCCCCCTTCTTCACACTAGAGTGTGGTCATCTACACTTAAAGTACAGAGTAAACATTCTTTCCAGTATCTGTGTTCTTTTTTTTTTTTTTTAAGATTTTATTTATTTATTTGTCAGAGAGAGAGAGCATGAGCAGGGAGGAGGGGCAGAGGCAGAGGGAGAAGCAGGCTCCCCTATGAGCAGGGAGCCCGATGCTACATATAAATGTAGCATATTAATGTGCTACGTTAATATGAGTTTTTAAATAAATACGTTTGATTTTAAAAAGGAGTTATAAACCCCAAATGTGGGGGCACTTTTAAAATTATAAGAGGATGTAATGTACATTGTATAGGTGTTATACTATTAATTCTGAAATCTAGAGAGAAAAAAATTCACACACACAAGACCCTGGGATCATGACATGAGCCGAAGGCAGTCCTTAACCGACTGAGCCACCGAGACGTCTCATGTGTTCTTTTGTATTAAAAAAAAAAAAAAAAAAAGTTCTTTGTGTCCATAAAACTAAAAATTGATCACATGCTGGGCCACAAAAAAAGTATCAACAAATTTCAGAGAATTTAATCACATGGAGATAAGCTCTCTGGTGACAAAATATTTCAGCCAGCAACCAATATCCAAAGACCCTTGTTTAAAACAAATTTTTTATACATAATCTGTATAGTAACTTTTATTTTGTCAGTCCAGGTTTAGAGACTTGTCATGAGCCACTTCCAGATAGTTTCGCTTAACCTTTAAACTATAACATATTTACTGCTACTGTAATTTTCAAATGCATAATATTTTTATAGATGAGCCCGCCATTAGTCTTATTTTAATTTTTGTTGAGTCTTCTGCTTCCCAAAAGATAGGATATTTCAGGCCCACGTAATAGGGAAAGCAGAAGCATCCTTGAGGTTTTTAAGCATTGAACAAACTCAGAATAGGGAAAGACATGTTAAATAAGAAACGAGAGGAAGCCTAACCACAAAAGAAAGATTGATTTGCTTGTGTAAAATTAGGAATCTTTGTTCATCAAAAACAGCATGAAGAGAATGAAAAGGCAAGACAGAGTGGGGAAATGTAGATCATATACATAGAGTAAACGGGGCTTTTTATGAAGAATACTTACAAATCATCATGAAAAAGAAAATTGATCTTTTTTTAAAGATTTTATTTATTTATTTGACAGAAACATAGCGAGAGAGGGAACACAAGCAGGGGGAGTGGGAGAG